GGGTGACCCTTCTACGTGCAAAATAAGTTGTTTTGCACATTATAAAAATGACTGCGGTGGATCAGGGGAGGGATCCACCGCAGTTAAAAATGCTACAATAGAGAAAATTCTCATTCAAATTCAAAAATACTTTATTGATCCCAGAGGGAAATTTGGTACAACAAGCATTCTCACTCTTTTACTCACACGGGGAAATTTAGAGTTAGCAATTAGCCAAATATTCACTTTTTTAGTCTGTGGGAGAAAATTAGAGCACCTGGAGTAAAGGCACAGAGAGAACATGCAAACTCCCTGACCAGGATTTGAACCTGCAACCTTCTTGCTGAGAGGCAACAGCTCTGCCAACAGAGCCACCATGCCTGAGAAAAGTGTTATTTTAAATATTTCCTATATATTTTGTAGAAAGATGCACGACTGTTACATGTGTGAAACCGTGTTCACATAAGTAAATATTGTGACATCCTGTATGTGAAAAACAGGCTTTATGTAGAATTAGAATAAAAATACTTGTTAAATTCACATGAGAAATATCACATTTGTATGTTTAATAAATTACCACGTGGCACATTTAAAACACATAGGAAACACATTTTGCATGTTTCAATTTGGAACAAAGAGAAACACATGAATTTTATGTGGAAAATCATGGTTTATCTTGCTGAATTAACATGTGACACATTTGCACATCTTCCATGTGTAGATTTAGAACAAAGCACCGGAGAAATTTACATGTGAAAAGTCACATGTCAATAAGTTAGGATGTAACATGTGTAAGGCATGTTTTGCGCATTTTTATGTGGAGAAAAAAACACGTGAAACAGATGTAGATTTAGAACAAAAACAACATTTTATTTGTATAAAATCATGTTAAAATGTAAAATGATCAATTTATGTGAATTTTTTGTGTTTCTTATGCAGCTTTGCAATAAAAGCAACATGTATTTTTTAAAACCTCTTGTTAGTCAATTTAACATGTGAAACACATGTGAAAGATGTGATTTGGAAACATTTTCAACATATTCATCTGATCACTGCAGTCACACGGTTAATCATGTGATCACATGTGAAACACTGATGCTTGGGTGTTCGTTTTGTTTAGCTGTTTTGATTCAAAGTGTGTAGCTAAAATCTTTTTATAAATGGATAAAAATGAAGAATGGATGATTGTGGTGTAGAAATGTACAATCACAGTATCACTACTCGTTAAATTGATGTAAAAGTTTATTTATTCAAATTTGGTTGGAAGAAACAGATATACATAAAATGATTGTGCCTCCATTCAGCATAAAGTGGGTATCTCACTATTTTGTTTTGTTTGTTTGTTTTTTCTGGGAATAAAAATATCTAACTTTTCATTTCACTTGGTCTTTTCTACTCTATGTACACAGTGTCATAGTTCAGTCCCTTTCTGTACTTCTTTCCAGCTCCAGCTTCTCTCCGTTCAGCAGTGTTGAACCATGCCTGTGTGTATATCTTCTCTGTGAACTTATGACAGATATATACAGAGGCACAGGATTAACTGTTTATGTAAGTGTGCATCATCCAAGAAATATGTACAAATCATACACATACAAAGAAACAATGAAATATTTACCACTGAGTTCCCTTTGAGTCAAGTTGGATTGAAAAGGTTGGGTTTGTTTCTGCTGGGATCAAAAATCCATTTACTGTTTTTGCTATAATTTGACTCTTTTTTTCGTACAGGCATTGTGATTAAAAAACATTCTTTCACACATAAAAGCAAGTCTTACTTTTCCTGGATGAGTGTGTGTGCACAACAGTTCACAAGAGATTTATCTGGAGTTAAAATGATTTTTCAAACTGATATTTCCATTATAGTGCAGCGAGCAAAGGTCCTTTGATAGAAGTTGGCTCTCTGTGGTGGTGGAGTAGGTGGTGTTATCCAGCGAGGAGGAACCGGTGGAGGGGAATCCCATGGTGTGGCTGTATGGGAGTGAAGGGGAGGGCGGTGGACATCAGGATGTTCTGTAGGGGGAGAGTGTTGGTAGTGATGGGGATACGGATGTGGGTGGAGATGAGGGCGATGATGGGGATGTGGATGGGTGTTGAGGTTTGAACTGGGGTGTGGGTGTGCATGAGGAAGATGACGGGGAGCGGGAGCCGGAGCTGGAGCATGATGTCAGCAGAAGTACTCATTAGGCTGTCCCTCTATCTTCGCTGTGGACTCGGAGTCCAGGCTGGAGCGGGCTGACAGCAGCCTGTTGGACTCCTCTGGGTTCAATCTGTTTAAATACTCGCCCTCCAGCCCTTTGGCTTTGGTGCCAGGGGAAAGGGTCTCAAAGGTTACATATGAATCTTGGATGTCCTTTGATTTCTTTCCCCAGTACTTTTTAATGCGCCTCTTCAGGGCCCCGCAGCAGACGATGACAGTGAGCGGGACTGCGATGACACAAGCCACGGTGATCACGATCACGTTAATCAGCCTCTGGGTGCCGGTAGCACTCGCTGCTTCGTCGGTGGAAAATATCACACACTGTTCTTTCTTGGGGATCAGCCCCTTCACACACACACAGGCAATGTACTTGGTCCTGGGCACCAACCCATCGATCGTAACCCGGGTCTGCCCTGCCCCGACGTTGATCTTCCTCATGTCCCTCTCTCCAAACACGGCATACAACACACTGAACGCCGTTGTGTTCTTGGCTTTCGGAGCTCTCCAGTTCAGAGAGATCGTGTTGTCTGTGTCTCCCACCACCTTCACCGAGCGGACCACCCTGTCAGGGTCCTGCTGGAGTGACGACGCGTTGGCGGATAGGTTACTCAGATTTGTCTTCTCCAGATCCAGCAGGGAGTCAGAGTTCGAAGACGTTCCTGGCTCTTGGGTGGCTCTGTATGTTGAATTGTAGCCAACAAGTCCAGGATCGGAATCAAGACGGGGTATGAGGTCAGCATCCGTGACAGGCACGGACGAAGGGGTGGAGGTTTGAACTACATATCTGGCCACCAGTTTCTCCTGGTAGGCAGCTTTGCCCATTTGGTTCTGCTTCTTGGCTTTCGCTTTTTTGTCTGTGTTGGTCTGGTTTCCCTCTGGTTTCGGTAAGTTAGAGACCATGAGAGAAATGACAGCCTCGGCATTCCCGGCGTAGTTTGTCGCCTTGCAGATGAATTTCCCTGAATCACGTTGCGACACAGCCGGGACACTGAGGATGGACCAGGTGATTCCCTCCTTAGATGTTTCCTGCTGAACTGTGGAGGCAAAGAGTGAAGAAAAAAAATTGTCACCTTACAATTAGTTATAAAAGGAAATCCATATCAGGTGATTACACGACGTTGCACTCATTGTTCATCATCATACGTTGCATATCTCCCTGTGACGTCCACAGCTGTCAGTCAGACTTACAGATTTACTAACTCCAGTGGCAGCTCTCTGTTTAATTAACAGCAACACTGCAGAGCATACAAATCATCTTATCTCATCCAAAACACCCAGAATGAGCCAACTCACCTGTTCCATTAAGGTTCTGTCCATCCGCCCTGCGCCATGTCAGATCAGGGATGGGGACTCCGATGGTCCCACAGCGGAGCAGCACATTGTTCCCAACCGCGCTCCGGACCCGCGCCACCGCAGTGTGGATTCGCGGGAGCTGACACTGCCGCAGCTCTGCGTCGCTGAACAACACTCCTGACAAACTCTCAGGGGCTGAACAGCGGAGTCTCGTGTCGATGAAAGCCACGGAGAGAGTGGGGGTCTTCTGGAACTGGACCAGGTCATACAGCCGGCAGTCACACGCCCAGGGGTTGTCGTGGAGACCTGAGGATGAGGGGCGAGAGTGAAGCTGCTGGAGAAAGACGAGCGTCCAGCTGTGTGCAAAGTGTAAGAGTGGCCTGCAGATGGCTGCTTTGGATGTTATGATTATAATCCCATAAGAGGATTGACATTTAATTCATAAACTATTTCATGGCTATGATTATGGCAATAACATCGCTGATGATTACGGTGATTGGTGAAATAGTTTGGTGGTCTGGCTTTTTCTATCTCACCCTTTGATCGTTGGGCAAAACAAAAGCACCTAAAGGAGCTTTAAGACTGTTTTTAATTTTAACAAAAATAAAAATAAAGTGAAGAAACATAATATTGTTAGAGAATTTTAAATCGTTTTCAGTTTTAATTAGAGGTTCGCTGTCTTTATTTGGAAACTAACCTTTTGAAAAATCTAATTTTCTTTATGGTCCAGTATAAAGCATTCACTAAATAGAAATGCTCTGCCTGTTCGTATCCAATTGGGACATTTAGTCTAAATGTTACACTTTTTCTTGATTAAAAAAATACACCATCTTGTTGATTAAATTGGGTTTTTATCAAGGTAGTTGATCATTAGAGATGAGAAATAAAATATGTTCTATCTTTCATTAAGATGAGTTCTGTAGAGGACAGTTTAAGCTGAACCACAAGCTGGGATGTCCCTTACCCAGGATCATCTTGGAGCTTTCAGGTCCCTGTGTGGGTTTCGCAGCCAGCCAAGTGGACAGCACCTCTGTCGGCAGGGTCAGCAGGCTGTTGCTGGACAGATCCAGGTAGGTGAGGTTCTTGATGTAAATCGTGGCCTCGGCGGGCAGCGAGGTGAGCTGGTTGTTGTGCAAATCAAGGAGCCTGAGGCTGGGCATATCCACCAGAGACTCCCAGGGAAAGGCAGTGAGGGCATTCCCGTCCAGACGAAGCTCCTCCAGGTTGAACAACCCCCGGAAACTGTCTGGGCTCAGAGCGGACAGCGTGTTGAAGGACATCCACAGGAACTCCAGACTGGAGAGGTAGATGAAGGCTTCGCTTGGAATCTGCTGGATGGACGTCTTCTCGATGCGCAGCTTGGATGTGTCGACCGGGAACCCGACAGGCACAAGAGATATATCAGGGTCGTTGCATATCACACTCCTAAAAAGGGGGACACAAATATATGATAATGAATAATATGACCCATTAAATAAAAAACACTTTAATTGATAAGAAATTGATCATATAAAGTGCACCAAATAGGTCAGAGACTATATAAAATTGTGGATTATAATTCAGAAATAAATCCTAAACAGGTTTGTAAAAGTGCCTTTGTGCAAAATCCTGTAATAAACAAAATAAGATCCACGCCATGGACTTTCTGAATTATCATTTTCCCACTTTCTCACATCTATAGAAATATTTGTCCATGAGGAGAAAAGCTGTTCTGAATGCCCAAACCGAAACACATTATCATGCATAGAGGAAAAGGGGGTAAAAGTCACTTTATTTCCAGACAGCTTGCTTACCTGGCTTTGGATCCATCACTCAGGTTGTGGTAGAAACAGCTGCACTGGGAAGGGCAGCTGCTCACTAGCGGGAAAAGTTCAAACGTGGCCACGCCGAGCCCCAGCAGCACCAGGACGGAGAACATTTTGGCCCACTTTTACGCATGCACCAGGTTGCCTACATGCGCCCAGTTTGTTACAGCCTAAGTCAGAGAGAACACTTTCATTCACTGAACTATCATCCCCCGCCGCTTCGCTGTCTCATAGTGATCAGACTGCTGTGAGTCCCGAGATAAAAAGGATAGACAAGGATTAGTGAAAAGACTGGCGTTCGTTTTATCTGGATGCGTTTTGCATCCCAGAGTCTGATAGGCTGAACAGAGACGTCCCTATTTATTATCACGGGAGGGGGGAAAGAAGCACTTCCGAAATGGTCATAATCCACTGTGATGCTTCTCTCTCTCTCTCTCTCTCTCTCTCTCTCTCTCTCTCTCTCTCTCTCTCTCTCTCTCTCATGTTGCATGTTCATTTCAGCTCTGTCGTGACTGTAAGCTTCAGGCACAACACCGTTTAACCACAAGGTGGCCCCTAAATCACAGTCTGTGACAGGATCGGTGATGTTAGAATATTGATAATTTAGAATAGCCCAAAATTCCAAGCTTTTTTTAAAATAAAAATGCTTTGCAGTAATTTGGATTGCCTTTTTTTAATAAAACAAAGTTCAATCTGTGTTTTATTAAGAACTAAAACTCAGCTCTCGGAGTTGCTGCTTTTAATGTGTAAGAGGGGAATTCTAAATGGAAAAAACTGAAAAAACAACCCTTCTGTTTATCTCCTTTTATTGTGTTCATCAGACTGTTCGCATACTTAAAGTAGGCAGACTTAATCTTTGTTGTGCAATTTTTATTTTTTCATTTATGTTATTGTTTTTTGTTTATTGCTGTGAGCATGGGTATATTTTGTTAGTTTTTCCTGTTTTTTTTATTATTATTCCTCTGTTGTAACAAAATGTTACTGATTTGATATAAGATGTCAGACAGATTCATCTTTACTGGAAAAATATATATATATAAAAAGCTTAGATTTCATCAGATTTTATGCAGTAATGTAAGGACAGATATGTTTATTAGTATTTCTTCTGTCTTGGCATGTGATGCAATTCAGAAAACCACTGCAACTCCAGTCTTTAACTTTCTGTAGGCGCTTTGTTTTGTTGTCAAGATGCTCCCTTATTAAGTGCATGTTATGGTTGGCTGAAGAATTGGACCCAAGAATGCAGACTTGACTCGAGGATTTAAAACATAAACATAAACTCTATTATTAACCAAAAAAAAAAGACTGACATGGTAGCTAAAAATCTACTTACAAAAAGCTGGAGAACCACAAGGAGCACGTAGAAGACCAGACTGTAGCATAAGAACAAAAAATGCAACACTATTTATGTGAAGATGAAATCTGACAGAATAAATAGGAAGTGGCTACAGCTATCACAGGGGAGCAGGGGTCATGATTGGGGAAACACTGCAGACAATCACCTGAGGAAAAGGTAAACAATGGAACTGTTGAACACAAGACACAAGTAAACAAAATCAAACAACAAAACACTAAATAAACCAACAGCAAAATACTAACAAAACATAGATCCTGTCAATAAACACAGAAAACAATAGAATGAGTTTTGCTCATTTAGCACTACCTTTCATCATAGGCTGCACAGTGTCATGCTTTTTTATTTCCTTTAACCCAAATAGCAGCAAAATCTGTTATTATTTATCAACTTAAATGCTGTTTAGTCCATTTGAATTTGGGATAGCAAAGTTAATTCTAGAACAGCTGTACTACAGGTCACGTTTAGCTGTTTTTGGTTCATAAACCTCAGACTGTGTCAGGCTTTGGTTGGCGCGTGCGTCCGCAGGTCCAAAAGCGCCATTTAATTTTACTCTCCGCCGCTGTGAGCAAATATGGAGTTGGTTTAATCCCTGAAAGGTCAGCGTGTCTTTCAGAAGTTGATTCTCTGCATGAAAAAAGATGTCAACAGAACACAGGCTGACAGGATTTTATTTATTTATTTATTTATTTATTTATTTATTTATTTATTTATTTATTTATTTATTTATTTATTTGCTCGACCACAAGGGATGACGACTTAAGATGCAAAGCAACACTGGAGCACGTTCTGTTTCATATTCACAATAATTACTTTGTGTTCATCAGTGGATGGGTGGGATTACTGCCATGAGTTGAAACTTGTATTTCACCAGGAGCAGAGCTTATGGTGCAGAACATTTGGACACATATGGACAAATCATGCTGGAAACAGTGGTGTGTTGTAAGCTTTCTCGCTGGTAAAAGTACCCAGCAAACGTTGCAGCAACTTATTTACTGTAAAATGTAACCTCGAAGTGCATTCAAAATGACAGAGTTGTAATAGTATACCATTATGGGCAATCCTATGCAATCCTGCAATATCTCATGTGATCTCACATGAAGAATTTACAGGAAAGCCCCTCTGCTCCCCCTGGTTGTTTATAAATGAGCTGATCTCATCCAGTGCTTTGAACTTATGCAAATGAACCTATCAAAGTGCCTGTGACATGCATATCATTCAAATACAAAAGGTCAAAGAAAACTGATTTATATAAGAAACTTGACATGATACACATGATTGTATCCATTTTGTCACATAACTGGTATACTTGTTTTTGGAACTTAGCCAAAGTGAAACAGGAAGTGACGTCAAAGGGGAGCTCTTTGAGAATAGGAAAGTCTCGTCATTGTTTATTGAAACAATATTATTTGAACTCTGACTGCTCTTCATCTCTCTCTGATAGTGACTCAAAATAATCTAAAGAAACATTTGATTCTTTTCTACAGTCTCTTTGCAAACATTCTCCTGTGATATCACTTCCGGTTGCTGCAAATACAAATATCTCTAAGTGTTCATCTCAGCAGCATCATTTTTATTCAGTATGTTGGAAGAAGTGTGTATAGAGAAAGGATAGATGTTTTCAGTGTTATCTTTCCAAAAATGTGCTCATACGGTATTCATTACAAAGATTTGATGTCAGTCACTTTAATAGTCATCAGCACTAAAGTGGAATTTCTCACTAGTTGTTGCTTTCTGTTGCCCGTTTTTATTTATTTATTTAATTATTTTTTTAATGAGACCACCACCCTTGTCTGCTTCTTCACAGGCTTTGTCCCACTTCTCCATCCAACTCTAAAGAGACACATCAGCCATGACGGTCCCTCACTGTGGAGTGCCTTCAGCTTCTAGGGGTGAATCTCATCCACACCCTGCCCTGTCACTCATCTGCCCTTTACCTGGGAGTGATGATGGTGGATGCAGTTCCATGTTCAAACACTAGTTGTGCTAATGAGTCAAATGGTAAATCCAGAATGAATCAAGCTTACAGAATTCTTCTCTTCTTAAAATGTGAACAATCCTGCAAAAAAGGTATTTCAACTGACAAATGATGGCTGGACTTTCTCACATGTTGTGTGTTTGAGAATATTTTATCTATGTACAGTAAAATGTATGAAAAACTGGTCAGGAGAATTTACTGTGCACATCTTTTTGTTACCACTTTACAATAAGATTCCACTTATAGATGGCTTATAAAGAGTTTATTGATAGGTTACTAATTCATCTGTAAACACTATAAATCATTATTAAATGTCTATTATACAATAATTAAGGACGAGAAACAGACAAAACTCTCCGGTTTCTTACCAAATAATGAGACAAATCTGTTTACGTACATATTACATCTAAAAATGGTATATACATTTCAGACTAGATAACTACATTATAAGTACAATAACGATAAATTTTAATATATTAATATTGTACTGTATTACTGCATTATAAATATTCACAACTGTCAAAGGGACTTATTGTAAAGTGCAATCCAGTACACTATTAATGACAAATATTTATAAATGCCAAAAGTGAGTCTATAATGTGAAAATTTTTAAAAACTTTGTGTTGATTATCAATATTTGAAATTATCGTTCAAACATGCAACTACTGTCAAAAATGATGCATCAAAAAGGTAAAAACACATCATGTTAACCAAATAATCCCACCCCATCCAAAATAGTGTAGTTTTACACTTTACAATAAGGATCCCTTTAATATTTGTGGATATTTATAATACAGTAATACAGTAAAGTATGTTAAAATATGCGTTCCCTAATCATTACTGTGCTTATAAGGTAGTAAACTAGAAATGTTTAATACACAAATAGATTTGGCTCAGTATTCGGAAAGAAACCGAACTGTTTAGTCTCTTTTTTACCTTAATTAATGCACAATAAACACTTATTAATAATTTATAAAGTGTTTACAGATGAATTAACAATCTATCTATAAACTCTTTAAAAGCCATCTATAAGGGGAGTCTTACTGTGAAGTGGTACCCATTTAAAAAAAAATTACATTACAAGTGTTTGAACGTATGACTGGTTAAATGTATACACCTTACCAAAACTATGATTTGTGTGAAAGGATGTTGAACAAAGACTTGGCCCCTCTATGAATATTGGGGCCCCTTGACGGCCCCTTATTCAAAAAATCCTAGATCCGCCACTGTTACAAGACTCACTTTCATACTCTGCTTCCACAAAGGTAGACACTGAAGTGTCTAAAACGATGGATGCATTCACCAAAAAAGGACAAACAAAAAATACACTCCACTCATCTTTTAAAAATGGGATAGACAACTTCGAGAATTATGAGATAAGATCTCATAATTACAACATCCTGATCTTAGAATCAAGAAAGAATTGAAGGCGTGTCATGTATTATAATGTTTGTGTTTGATAAGATTTTGCTGTGACGGTGGCTTTCAAAAAGGCAATCAGTTGTAGATGCACATCTAATAAATAATTTCTGAACGTTTTGTCAAAATCCGTTCAGCAGTTCGTGAGATATTTTGCTAACAGTGCGGCAAACGAAGACGCAGACTCGGGCAAGAGCATTATCGCACATTTTGCCTTTGTTGGCGGGCGATACAAATGAATAAAGTAAAAAAAAAAAATACACATCTGTGGATTGTGTTGCTGTTTTCTTTCTTCTGATTGGTTGTTGGTTGACACCTGTTGGCTTCCTTAAAGCCACACGGGCGGCTGCAGCCTCGCATCCAAAACACAAAGGCTGGTTGTGTAACTGAACAGAGGGGCTTTATTGTTGCGCATTAAGCGTTTGAGCGTTTATGTTCATTAAAACATTCCTGCGCAGATTGGGGGGCGAGGCGACAGCGAAGGGTGGAGGCGGCTTTTACATAATGAACCGCATGCTTTTTCACGTGAAACGCGCCCTTTATAAGCGGATGTCTGAGCTGACACCCCGTTCGCAAACGGAGCGAGACGCGTGAAAAGTCCGCGTCAGCTGCAGCTTTGTTTTTATTTTTTGTTTTATTTTTTATATTTTTATTATTTATTGGATGCATGAACCGGGCGCCAGGATGGTGTCGTCGCATCCTTTACCGGAGGGCTTCACCGAGTTTGATGTGTTTTCGCTGGGATCGTGTCTGCTGGTGGAAGGTGAGGGTTTTGTCCTGGAATTCAGCCAGAGATGCTCCACTCGTGCCAATGATGTTTCCGATGTAGTTTCCTTAAAGTCGCAATTAAAACCCTCCTCGTGCAAACGAAAGTGAATGCAGTCTCGGTTTGATTTGAAGCGCTCTCTTCGGTTTGACGCGCGCTCCTGGCTGGCGTTTCGTTTCGCAACCCAGGTGTGTAACCTTTCTGTCTGTTGTTCCACCGCAGGGCTGCTGGGCTTCTCTCTGAACGCGGTGACAATCGTTGCTTTCCTCAAAGTCAGAGAGCTGAGGACGCCCAGCAATTTCCTGGTGTTCAGCCTGGCCATGGCTGACATTGGCATCTCCATGAACGCCACCGTGGCAGCTTTCTCCAGCTTTCTGAGGTGAGTTATGGAAGGCCAGCTCTGAAATGAGTGCAAATTAATCTAATGTCATATAATTGAGTCTGTCAATATTCTCGACCTGTTGAAGATGGATTATGCTGCTCTCATCAGTCACTGGCTCTGAAATTAAAACTGCTCTTCAAACATCCATGTCTGAAGCATGAAAAATAAAAGCAGCTCAAGAGAATTTCTTACATCACCTTTTTTTCCCCCTTTTACTCTGATCAAGAAAATATGTCTCTCCTGTTGTGACACCCTGCTGCTGGGAATTTAATACCTCATTCTTTGGGATCCAGGTACTGGCCTTACGGCTCAGAAGGGTGCCAGACTCATGGCTTCCAGGGCTTCATGACGGCCCTCGCCAGCCTCAACTTCATAGCAGCCATCGCCTGGGACAGATATCACCAGTATTGTACTAGTAAGCTGACTCTCTGAGGTATTACACAGTAAAAATTGTAAAAGCACACGTTCGTGTTGGATGAATCTTGCTCTTTGTCATGCAGGGACGAAGCTGCAGTGGAGCAGCGCCATCGGTCTGGTTGTTTTTGTTTGGCTTTTTGCTGCCTTCTGGGCAGCTATGCCCCTCATTGGCTGGGGAGAGTACGACTACGAGCCCCTCAGGACTTGCTGCACACTGGACTACAGCAAGGGAGACAGGTGCAAACTGGTTACTTTTGTTTTTCTTTCTACACTAACAATGCACTTTTAAAGTCAAAGCACATGAAATTACTGTGCATGACAAAACAACATGATAAACAGCAATAGCCTTCCAAAGTTGGTGTGTGTTTCTCTCAACAGGAACTATGTCTCCTACTTGATCCCGATGAGCATTTTTAACCTGGGCGTTCAGACGTTTGTGGTCCTGTCCTCCTACCAGTCCATTGCACACAAGTTCAAAAAAACAGGAAACCCCAGGGTACGTAATGTAATAAAGCACGATGTTACGGGATTCTTTTGTAAAAATTTCATATTAGGATGGAGAGATTTGAGCTTCAAGTTGGCCACAAGACACAAATCTTTATGCTTCATTTGATCAAAACATGTCTTTCATAGTTTATTAAATCTGATAAAATTACATTTTCAAACAACAATTTGAACAAGACATGGGTTTTTACGATGTAAAAACAAGTGTGCATTGCCATGTAGCATGTCATTGCAGCATGGCTTTGCCTGCAGCATTGGACTTACAGAATGAAATGAGACCAAGTTCAAATGTGTTTGCTATACCAGCTTGTGCCTGTCACATCAGCAGGTGTTTGTAATTAAGTTAATTGTGTGACAATATGAAGTTTGAAGAGAGTTTTGTTAAAGTTGTTTAAGCTGGGTTTTGAACCCTGATCTCCCACATGAAAGTCCATGACATAGACCATTAGATTGTTGGAGCTGTGCAGGAGGTGGTGCCAGGGGTTGGTTTGTATGTGTGCAGAAAGAGGCCACATTGCCAATACAATTATTGATACTAAACTGTATAATATTACAACAATAGAGCAGTATTAAGACAATGATATAGTAAAACATCAAAATACAATCATATTAGTATTTTAAACACTGAGCTATTGAGATTAAAAATTAAAAAACTATGGTGCAGTACCAAGTTGATTACAGCATGGGGCAGTATTGGACCATTACAAGGCCCCATTGACTGTCATTATATGAATTTGGAATAAAGTTTAAACAGTAATATTTCAAAAACTACAAGTAGTACAGGTACCAAAAGGCATAGCAATCATTTGGCACAGGACCTTTACATATAGAAATTACAATGGCTGCTGTAGGAAAAAGTATGCAGGAGGGGTAGCTCTGATGTGTTTTCTATACCAGCTTGTGCCTGTCACATCAGCAGTTGTTTGTAATTAAGGTAATTGTGTGACAATATGAAGTTTGAAGAGMTKTTTRTTAAAGTTGCAGTAGCTGGATTTGAACCCTGATCTCCTGCATGAAAGCCCACAGTGCTCATGAGACCATAGGAGAGGTGGCAGAGGACAATCCCAGGGACTGGATTGTATGTATACAGAAAAAGTTTACCTTGCCAATGCAATTATTGACACTGAAGCGCAATATATTACAACAATAGAGCAGTATTAAGACAATATTATAGTAAAACATCAAAATACAATGATATTAATATTGTAATCACTGAACTACTGAGTTTAAATATTATAAAACTATGGTGCAGTACCATATTGTGTAGATGCAGCAGGTGGCAGTATTGGACCAATACAAGGCTCCTTTGTCTGCCATTATAATTTATTAAACATTAATATTTCAAAAACTATAAGTTTTACAGGCACCAAAAGGCATAGCCATCATTTGGCACAGGGGCTTTACAGATATAAATTACAATGACAGCTCTAGGACAAAGTATGCAGGAGGTGAAGCATGGCAAAGTTGAGATGACTTGGATGGGAAACGAATCACAATAGTGTGCATTGCATTGGCAATGCACACTGATAAGTTTGCACAAATACTTGTGCTCTGAAGACACCTGTTGAGGGAAAGAAGGCAAGGCAACAGTGGCTTAGTGGTTACCAATGTTGCCTTGCAGCAAGCAGGTTCTAGTTTCAGACCCCAGATTGGGGTTGGGGTCTCTCTGTGGAGTTTGCATGCTTCCTTGTGTTTGTGTACATTTACTTGGGGTATTCTGGTTTTCTCTAAAGTTCCAAAACAGCATGCATGTTTATTTCGGCTGCCTTTCGGCTGGGCCTCCCTTACCAGAGAGATCCGTGATTTTAATAGGATTTGGCTGGTTAAACAAAGGTGAAGTAATTAATAAAAGTCTTTGTGTTCTGAGACCATCCTTCCATGTTTGTTATTCAGAGAGACAGAACAGATGATGTGAGGCGTGCTCGCTGTGGCAGATATAGGTCATTGCCACGGGGGGAATGGCCGAGTGTTTTTATCTAAGAATGCAGACGGGCTGTACGCTGAGAGCCTGGATGTGCAAAGTTCAGCAGAGTTCGGTGGGGGTTTAATCAGGTGACCCCACGTTACGTTGCGTAAGCTCATTACTCACAGTCATCTGAGCTGGCTGCAGAGATTTTCATTTCACAAAGTGGAGAGCAAAGATTTCAGCAAACTTTGCAATTGTTGTCACTTAAAGTGAGGAAAATGTGGTTTAAGTCTGGGAGATATAAGGGTTCACACGTTTTGGCCTTAAGGTGTTCTTTTTTTATCACCCTGAATGGAGAAAACTCAACTTGTGCAGCCAAGTTTTGGTCAAACTTATTAACCTTTAATACTCAGTGAGAACAGTTTCATGCTCTTTAGTAAAAGCTCCAACTTAGGTGGGGAAATGTTCTGCATGCATTATTCCAGACGTGATTTACCAGCAGGTTCATAGCAAAAAGCCTTATCTCCCTACTTTACTGTTTATAGCTAACAAATCCTTCTTATTTGGGCTTTGTTTTAATTTACAGGGGATTATGTATTTTCCAAGTACATAGTTCAAATCTATACCACAGTCAAGGAACTATATTACCTTCAGTTGTTATGAAAGCGCTGTTTAAATCAAAAATAAAACAGACTTTGCATCACAGCCTTAAATACCTTGAAATTGGCCTCTGTCTCTTTAAGAACTTCCTGCCGTTTCCAACACTCCCACTTCAGTAGGTGTTTACAGTAGTTCTTCATTCCATTTACAAACTTTTTGTAAGAGAAAAATCTAATCATTTTTGACAAGCTGTGTCATCCGTAGCAGTCAGGAAAAGAGGGTTGTCTCTATTGTCTCTATGGCATTCATTATATATATATATATGTGTGTGTGTGTGTGTGTGTGTGTGTGTGTGTGTGTGT